GAGCCTACCCGGGAAGGACCCCACGATGTGTGTTTTCACGCGTGTGTTGTTAGATCGACACTCTAACCACTTGAGCTATTCAACTTGACTGTTGATAAGATTGGCTCCTCCGAAATAATATACCACCGATGGCTTCGACCTGGCTCTGATACCACTTGTTGACCCTGGCAATTCGGAGGAAAATGTCAACGAAAAACTAGCCGAAGGTTTCTTCTAAAGAAAAAATAGTAGAAGTAAAAGGAGAGAGAGAGAGAGATTTGCTGAAGACTCGATGTTTTATTTCTCTTCCGTTGAATTCTTTAAATAACAAATCTAATTACAAAAATAGAAAAACTAATTACAAAAAATAGAAAAGTGGGCGAAGACTTCGCCCAAGTTGGCAGCTAATTACGCTAGAATTACGCTCCTCCATTGGCGTGAATTCAGAAGTTTTGAGACGTCAAAACAACCTAACTGAATAAGGAACATAACTTTTATTTAACAGAATTTTGATTGAAGTTTTTACTTTTATCTCTCCCAAGTGTTGGTTGTACATCAACCGTCTTGAATATTCATATACCTAGATCTCCACCACAACTTCGCATCGTTAGCTAGATGTATTGTTGCTAACGTAATATTTGCTTCCTCTGCCATAGTATTTATGGTTCAAAAGTACTATTCAAGGTCGAAGATAGAGTTCGCTAGATTCTTGGCATCTTGAACCTTCCGGAAGGACTTAGGCTCTAGAACCTTTAGATGGTTAAACTGGATCGAATCCCCTGCTAGGGTTTAGTTCTCCATTGCTCTCGATTGTTAAACTGGATCGAATCCCCTACTAGGATTTAGTTCTCCATTGCTTTCATGTGAGGTTAGTTTTAGTTCTCCATTGCTCTCATGCATAAGAGGTTTAGTGTGATCCAGAAGCCACCACTCTCTAACTACCTCAAGAGAAACTTTTACATCTTCAGAAAGGTCTGAGATCATCTGAACTATAGCCTTTCGAGAGTTTTCTAAACCTTTGACACGCTTCTCCATGTGGACAACCGAGCTTGTCGACCTATCCCCACGCCTGAACCAATCAACCGTGTGATTTTGTCTTTTAAGATCTCAACCTTGAACATCAATTCTTGGATAGGAATCTCGTCTAGGCGGCTAGCTACTATGTTAATTTTGTCGGTTTTGGTGGAAATCTCATCCAGATGAGAATCCAAAAACCAAATATTGTCAGGGACTTCATGTAGATAGAACATCTACTCTTTGATCTGGACCAATTAGTCAACACGAGAGACTTGCCCAACTGCTTAGTTGTCGACATGTTTACTAATTTCACTCTACGAATTGACTTAGTTTTGTTCCATTTGTCACAATCGCACTCTTTTGAGACTCACAAAGCGATTTTGTACCACTTACTTTCACCTTCGAGTAAGTCAACCAACTAAAATCGTTGGTGGCACAAATAGTCTATCCGCCTCCGTCCTGTTTTTTAAAGTGATTTTAGAAATGAGGTTAGAGAAGGTTTTGAAAAATATTTTGAAGCAATTTTAGAAAAGAAAATGTTATAAGCTAGCCAGCAATAAGGGACAACAACATTAATAGCATATAAATAGGGTAGGAAGATTCGACAGCTAGTCATATCCTCCTATAGTGCATTTTAAGGCAATTTCCTTTGGTAGACGTAGACATCAAAAGTGGCGGAGAGTCATACACTCACAAAATTACAAGAAAAATAAATGACTACACTTGAATGAAAAACATACAATAAAAGTGAGGTAAAAGGGTTAAATGGGCATGCGATCATTGGCAACATGCATTGGACAATCATAACCGTGACACTTAACAATCTAAAGTTAGTTATTCTCGCTCATTTAGGAAATGAGCCTTTTCTTCCGTAAGGGTGGTAGGGTAAGTGTGACTTGTGTTTTGGTTTTAGGTATGGTCCTCCTTGTGATAGAGTTGTTTTGGCTTTATTTTGTTTGGTTCAAGCTTTGTAAATTTCAGTTTCTTCATGAAAAGTGTCATTAATGTTTTCCCCCCCTAAAATAACTTGGAATGAACTTTATCTCAAATTGAAGCTACAACAAGAGAGTATCTAGAGGGAAGTAATCTTATAGATCTTCCGTGATAAATGTCAAGTTGATGTCAGCCCATCTGGAACATCAAGAATATAAGCATTTTACTTTTTGTTTTTGATAATTTAGCAAGGGCCCTTCTGTCTTTTGTTCCAGTAATTGTATCTAGTCCTAGTTCTCCAAGATTTACTATAACAAGGTACCAACTTAAAGTTCTTTTTGTTCTTTAGCATTATCCTTGAAAGTTGTTCGATAGTCACTTCCCTTGTGCAAACAAGAGATGCTCTACAATTTCGGTTGCCTCTAGGCTAACATCTATGGATTGAGGCAAGGTGATTAAATCGTCTTGCATGAAAGTTCGACATGTAGAATCTGAAAAGAAGATATACGCAGTTTTTCTACATTTGATTAAAAGAATATCAACTTCAATGGCATGAATCTCATTTCTAAGCCTTAGATCCACATAAGCTTCTTATCATACTCTCTAGACTGTAATAAGTTGGAGATTTTACTGAAGCAGCGCGCGGCACAATGGAGGCAAACGTAGTTCTTGAACCTTCACCTTCTTTGGGATCACTTTAGTTGACTTTGTTTATTTTGTCTCTTAGTGGGACCTGCTGCATTCCTTTTCTTTCTAATGGTTTGCCTTTGTAGTATTCTTCCTGTTACAGGCTTTCTTAACTTGGCTTATTGCTTAACAATTTCATATTTTAGCCGCCTAGTGAACAATATCTAAAAGTTCTACTATTTCTCTTACCCCACAAATCCTACGGGCAAAACTTCCACTTTTCATGTGAGATCCCACATCGGTTGGAGAGGAGAACGAAGTATTCTTTGTAAAGGTGTGGAAACCTTTCCCTAGTAGACGTGTTTTTAAAATCTTGAGGGGAAGTTCGAATGGGAAAACCCAAAAAGGACAATATTTGCTAGCAGTGGGCTTAGGCTGTTACATTTAATCTTTCCTTCTCTAAAAAAAAAAAAAAAAGAGGTGGATGGAGAAGGAACTCCGGAACTCCTTGATTATCTTCCTGCAACTTCTTTGAATGTCAAACTAAAAGCCAAACACATCACAAAAGAGTTTCTAAAATCCCACAAAAACTGAGCCTAGTCAACAAACCTGCTTAAGTCATGTTGAAGTGTTTCTAAGAGGAGCTGGATGGATTAAAATCCCACCCCCCATATCGTTGAGAAAATGCATTAACTTCTATTTATATGTTCTCTATTTGAGTTGACTTATTTAGATTCCTACTAGGATTGCGCAATGCACATGTTCTAGCTGTTGCTCCTTGGGATCTAATTAAACTAGTATGTTGTCAAAATCAACCACTATAAACTCACAAGAAATTATTTTGATACTTGTTCTATCAACTTCATGTCGTGTATGTGCTTGTAGTATTGTTTAATGAGAAATGCATAAGAGTCCTTAATTATTGTTTATAGAGTTTTTATATTCCAATACTCTACTTCTACTTCTAGGATGTATGAAAATAGACCATAAGTTGGTCTAGTGGTAGCTTCAAGAAAAAGTCTGCGACAATTTATCATCGTTATCTTGTTCCACTCGTTGAGTTTATTAAAAATTTATTTTGTGCATTGCAGAGTGAAGATGGTCTTGTTAGTTCTATTAGCAGAGGGGATGCGTTAGCTATATCTAATACTGACGCTAAAAGGTAAAATTACCACGACCTCTAACTCACTGTGAAAGGAAAGTCTCAATGTGACTCACATTTATGTAATTTTTTTTCTCCATAGTATAAACTAAAATTTTGATCATATGTAATTACAATTACATAAGCTTTTGATTTTTTTTTTTTTTTTTTTTTTTTT